GAGAGAGAGAGAGAGAGAGAGAGAGAGAGAGAGAGAGAGAGAGAGAGAGAGATCTATGTGTGTGTGTGCGTGTGCGTGTCATGAAGTGAACCATGGGAACGATTCTGAAGAGAGCAGGACGATGGTGAGGGAGAGACCCCAATGAGAATAAGTGAGAACGAGGATGATGATGATGATGATAGCGATGATGAATGAAGGAATGATGCTTGCTCTCAAACTGGTCCGCATCGAGACTTTTTTTTTTTTTTTTTTTTTTAAAGATGGCTACTGACTTGAGATATCATCATCTAAACTGACCACCCGTAGCAGGTAATTCAGAAATGCAGTATTTCACTCATCTGCTTCCACTGAAGTTTGAACTTTGCACTTGGTCTGTATTTCAATGTGTTCAGTGGTGTCGCAACTGAGCTAGGCCAGTTGGTTTCAAGACGGTACTTCGGGGAGATTGGCTTGGTGCGGAAAGACGTGGGACCCTGGATGCGGTTTCCAGCAATAGCCTAGGCTGGTATTGGCCCCGGTACTCCCAGGTTTCCACAGAGGGAACATTTGGTGTTTTTCCACAGAGGGAACATTTGGTGTTTTTCCTTCCCTTTGCCTGTTTTTTTTTTCTTCTTCTTTTTTGTGATGATTTGATATTTTTTCTGATGGTTTGTCTTTAATGTTTTTCCTTTTTTGTGAAATTGGTGATGTGTTTGCCGTTTTCTTTTAAGTTTTTGAAAGGTTTTCTTTTGGGAGCATCCTTGAGTTTTTGTTTTCAAATTGCTACGGTAACCTTCTTCCCCCGAATACAACGTACGGTAATTATAGCTGTATTTGGCGTATATTGCAGTCTATATACAATTATAATGACCGTACGTTGTATTCGGGGGAAGAAGGTAGGTTTTTTGTAGTTCTTTTTCACAAGGGACAGGCTCCCTGCTTGCTGGATGCACTCGGAGGCCCTGCCGGCCCCTGAAACTGAAAACTCTATCTCAGTTTGTATGTTTGCCTTGGGCACTAGGCCCTAATAATAAAGGGATTAAAAAAAACAAAACAAAAAAAAGACGGGGAAAAAAAAACAAAAAAAAACAAACGAACAAACAAAAACCAAGAAGAGCAGCCCCACAATTTGCGAGGTCGCCATCACAGATGCAACACCGTTCTATCTTTCAGACTTCGGGCCTCTCTCCACTACTCTCGAAATGTGCAAACCGAGAGTGAATCTTCCGCTACAACATGGAAAGCTACACCGCCATCATTTTTGTCTTTGTGCAGGTCTAGAGTAGTGAAAAAAAAAAAAGAGAGAGAGAGTAGAGGAGCGAGGCCCTTCATTGTACCGGCGGCATATGCAGTATCGAAGTTACCATAGAGGCCTGTATGCCATTGGTTGGGTAGGCATTGCAACGTATATAGTACAATCCGTGGTGACGACAGCGTTGTTAATTTCTACATCCGTTTGGTGCATTGTGGGCATGAGTAAGGTGTTGACAGTACCTATTATCACTCACGTCGTCTGATCGAGTATCGGCTCTGTGAAAAAAAAAAAAAAAAAAAGGGTTGGAGGTTGGCAGACTGTGATTGTGTGTGAATGGCGTCGTGAGGGTTTTATAGGGACCGGCCGCCCAGCCTCATCCATAAATTTGAAAACCCATCCGATTCGTTGTCTTGCATCCATCCACCCCCGCCCCCAACTTACAAAACTCCCTTTTTTTTTTCTTTTTTTTTTTTTAACAAGCTCCATCTATTGGTGGGGAGCCTTGTGGCCTGGACATGCAATGCTTGAATAGCAGCAAGCACATGGCACTGCCTGCTTTCCTGCTTGTATGTCAGCAACATGCCATGTTACGCCAATGTTGTCAAGACTCTGAGGTCTGATGGAGAGTATGTCTCCACCGCCGCTGGGACTATCCCTGACGCCATCACCCACCACATTCTCTCCGTTCTTACCCCCACGTAATACTGGATACCTTCTCGCTGAAACCCCCCCTTGGAAGTTGGAACTGCCTCTGAGTCACCTTTGCCAGATAAGGAACAGATGCATTCCACCAGATGATGAATGCTTCACGGCAGTTCGAGTTTGTGCCACCCAAGCTCACAAAGTGTGAGAAAGCACAAAGTGTCTCGCCAGCAGCCACAAAGTGGGAGAAAGCACGTACGCAAAATCTTTACAATGTGTCTCGCCGGCAGCCACAAAGTGGGAGAAAGGACATACTGTCAGCAGCCTGAGGACATACTCGCCGGCAGAGGCACTCACATGAACCACGGCCCACGGGCAGTGCACTATACTGAACCGTTATCACCACCAGGGTGAGCAGTTGCGGACAAAGACTAGACAAATAGAGGCCTGGGAAAGAGTGCATGGTCATTCTTGGCCCGCGCATGCTAAAAATAGTCGCGGCAATGAAATTGATAGCACCTAACATTGAGGAAACACCAGATAAATGAGGACTAAAAATAGCTACATCCACAACTCCTCCAGAATGACTGGTCATACCCCTCAAAGGTGGGTAGACCGTCCACCTGATACCAGCACCCACTTCCACTGATGCAGAACTTGGGGCATCGTTAGACACTCCTCGGGGACACGATTCCAAGGATTTTGTCGTCGTTACACCTGTCCTCGGAGATCATGAAGTTCGAAATAAAAATGTGAAAACACTCTGAGGACAAATCCTTGGGCACCAAGGATTTCCCAGCAAATTTCGTCCTTGGCTCCAAGGGACCTCGCGCGAGGTCACTTGGAGCCAAAGGATCAGTGTTTCAAGGAGAGGAGAGGCCATGCATGTCGTGGGTACATTACAACCACGAATCCGGATCGTAATCGCACTCTATTGGCTGAATTTCAAAGCCTTTTTTTTTTTTTTTTTTTTTACCTGAGGCTCAGATCGTTCTCAGGACTAGTGCTCCAAGGATAGAAGTCCTAAAGCCAACGCTCCTAGGGAAGGTGGAACACCGCTGCCAAAATTCCAAAAGTTCCCCGAGGATTCGTCCTCAGAGCTCGGGGACAGCCTGAGGAGCAGCCCCCGGGGGCAAAGCCGGGGTAGGGGTTCGACCCCCAGACCCCCGCCGCCGGGGTGCCCCACCCCCGCCCACC